CCAGCGCTGCTTGACACAGGTTGCAAAGCGGATGTGATGTTTGGAACTGCAGGAAGTACGCGAAGCCTGCCAGTTCATTCATTCGCCCACTCTTTATGGGTGCGCTTCGATAATGGTAGATACCACGAGCAAATTGGCAGCTGTATGGCCATACAACCACAGCTTTATTCAGAAATGCGTCATATTTTTATGTTGAACAATCTAACGATGGCGGCGGCTCAACCATTCACTAATCATCTCTAGGATATTTGTAGGTGTCCGAAAAGCGTCATCGCTAACGGGAACCCGTGGAGTGAGTTGGATTAGCCCAGTTAAACTCGTGGTCATCCATGAAGGATGCGAGCCACAGGAATTATGGCTTTTGAGTTTCTCCCAGAGGCGGCAAGCGGCCTATTTAGATTTAGCTGAGAATAGGCTCAAAGACGATGATACCGTGGAATGGGTTTGTGTAGTGCAGAATAAGTGCAAGCCTAATGTGAGGACGGTTTGCCCTTGAAGTACGTTTATATTGGTGCTTATTGTCCTAGTAATGCTGCATGGCTCGACAGCTGTGTGGTGCAGTGTAGGAGTACGATATGATGCACGACAGTTCCCAACGGATCCGTTAGTTTCATGTTGCCTTGTTTACCTGCCGCGCAAAACCATTCCACCCGATTTAATCTGCCACATGCAGGGAGCAGTATGCCGTGGACGGAGGGTGTGATTCTTGAGTTGATGCTCTGGTCATGGCCTCCCTGTACCTGTCGCCCGGTGCAGACGTCAGTGGGTGCTCAACTTTGTCTCGACTTACCCGTTTCTCGAGGACATTTGGATTACGTGGCACATAGACATACTCCATCCACGACTCAGAGGTTCTCTACTGAGTGCGAATGCTTCCATTACTAATTCCACTGTGGATGCAAACATAGTGGATGCAAACATAGTGTGTCGTTCTGTAATCAGCATCTGTCTCCGCTGACAAGCCTAGCTAATGGTTGGTGCAATCCACTAGGGTATTTGGAGTCTATGCCACACAGGAGGCGGGGCTATGACTTTGGGACTGAACGGCCCGAAAGGCCGTCATGTAGCGGTAAAGGCTGTGGCACCGCTGATTCAAGTATTGACTGATGCCCGTGGGAACGAACGTGAGCTGTATTGAGCGCAAAAGGTGGGAATGGGGCTTTGATTATTGCAAACTTCGTTATTTTGGTCGCCTTTGGAGTACGTTGCTAAGCATAAATGTGCAGAACGACAGTATAATAACTTGGGCGGTTGTGACTTTCGGGTGCAGCGCACGTTTGTGCCCACCTCGCACTGGACGGCAAGGACTCCTGTTTCAGGGCAATTGGGACAAAGCTGCATGTGGAATTGCTTTTATGACCCGTTAATTTGTGTCTTGCCGTGAGTGCATTGAACATTCTTTTTAACCTCTTTCTAATTTACACCATAATGCCTCCATGAGAGATTTATTGCATTTTTGAGTGAAGAAGGTGCGTGTCGAGGACGCACTCCACAAAACCTGCAAGTATAATGCCAACAGAATTGGCTGGCGTTGTTTTGGAGGCAGGCAAAGGCACCTACGGTCCCGTTTGTGACAGCCCATGACAGCCAGTTTGCCGATGTAGGCTTGTATCAACAGAGATGGCCATTGTAGCAATAATAATAACTCGCAATAACTCTGGCCGAGCTGGGTTCAGAATGTCGTGAGACAGTTGAGGCAGAAGATAATATAGGTACACTATAAAGAGGGATTCAAAAAATGACGTAAGTAGCGGAATGGTGTTAGGTGAACCTTGGAACATAAATTTTTCAAAATCAAATCGACAATTTTTCTCTTGTAGCAATTTTAAATGTTAAATATTACCTGAACAGATTTTGTGTACCTATCATTTGTTATGTACCTGAGCGTTACATACTTCCGTGAAATCCTTGATAGATTTTAAGGACTGGCCCGATATTGCAGACATGATATTGGGGCAACTATCAACTGTTCAGGAAGCCGGTTCCTTGCTGTCCCGGAATGACTGGACTGCTGGTCGGGGACGTCCAACAGAATTCACGTGCGGAAGCTACTTTGCCTCATCTGCTTGCTGTGATGCACCAGTCAATCGTTTTATTAATAACAGTGGGGTGCAGCTATAAAGCAGTTTGGGAGGGGATGGTTTGATTCGGCGCGTGTCGCAGTGCTGTGTCACTTGGAAAAAGCGGTTCGAAAGCGCTGGAATCTGGAATATGTATGGGGTTGGCTGATTGTTTTTAACACGAGGAGAACTGTGTTCCGCATCGCATCGCAATGACCTGCTCTGTAAGCGTCCCAGGGGGGCGATGCTTTACTCTTGCTCCGCGTTTTCCTCTTCCACGTGGGCTACCAGTGGTCGGAGAATACAAATTTTTATGTATCGGGTCGTCGGCCTTGCGTGCCACACGAGGACTTTTGGATTTCGTCTAGTTCCAAACTCTGGTTGGAAAGCCCCTTCCTATGTGTAGCAAGGACTCCAAATACTTGGTGGGTGGCATGCCAGTGGAGGCACCAGCTGTTTCTAGTAGAGCGAACAGCGTACTAGCTGCATTCACAGTATAACAATTGGCACACTTGCATTCACAGGCGGAAATGTGAAGTCGTATATCCATCATGGTTTTTGTCATTCAGGAGAAGCGTGATCGGATGATCGAATGACAAGCCGATCGAGACAATGTTGAGCACGCATTGATTTCGGTATCAGGCGAAGGGAGGCTATGAGCAGGGCATCAACTAAAAAATTCCATCCATGGTAAAAACGACCGTCATCCGTTCATAGTTCATATATTAGAAAGAAGTCTTGCCCCCTTCCCCCTGCTTCACCTTCCCCGAGCCTGCAGCAAAACTTATCGATGGTAAAAATTCTTGCTTATCGCTGCACATCGTAAGTTAAATCTAGTGAACTTTCCCTGTGCGACGAGTAATTGTTGCGGTAACGTGAAACTACCGAACCCGCGCCGCATACAGGCTTACTTCCAAGTTGGCAGCCTTTCTGGATGCCTCCATATTGCGCAGGAATGCGACTAGCGTTATTGAGAGCAGTACAATCGTCATGCGACTCTTGCTAATAACTGGGTGGCGATTTTCCTCGTATGCTTCCGCTCGCTCAAACAGCTGCGCCCTGAGTAGTTGCTGATCTAATTCAACGAAAGTTCAGGTCGAACTGGCCTGATTTTCACTTGACGGTGATGGTATCACTCACCATAATGCCAATAGAACAAGAAATACAAATTTTATCGCCTGCAGGAGAGAACCGGGCAAGTTGCATTGCCCATTGTTAAAGGTCCGGCAGCGGCCGAGAGGCATGCTGCCTCAAATATCTTGTGTCTGCGATGTCCATAGAATTGTGATATTCCTGTATTCACTAAAATATAAACTTGCTGCTTCGAATAAAGATCAAATATGCTGAAGTCCAAGCGTGCATTAGTGACCCCGCAATGACGGTCCCCCGCCAGGCTCATGGCTGCTGATGGGCCACTACGACCCGATCTGCGTTATATCCCAACTTCAGCTTACTTCCCTTGGCAGTGAAACTTGCCTCATACCTTTTTTTGTGGATCGCGGAAAACTTTTGACTAACGAGAAAGGGGGAAGACAAGAATTTGTAACATTCGTGTTGTCCTGCAATCAGCGTTCAGGACACCATCGGTGGCGCACCGCAGGAACACTCTAGTCTGGAGCATAATAGATTAGTTGGAAAATTACAAATATGCTCCACAATGTCATTTTATAAGTTAATTTGTCCTTGCAGACTATTGCTGTAGGAGATCTTGGTGGGTCCGGCCCTCCATCTAGAATTGCATCTGTGTGCAGTTTGCGCATGAAACCATACTGGGCCTTACTACCCAACATGCACGCAAATAGGAAGCCTGCAAGCAGAAGTATTCAGCACTTCCATTCATTGCTGGTTAATGCCGCAGAACAATAACCAGCAATGTATGGAATTGCTGATTACTTCTGCTTGCAGCCTCCGTTGGCCACACATAATAACGGGACTGGAGTTTGAACCGAAACAAATAAAAAAGTCCTCAGGCAGCAGGCAATGGCTGGGGTCCAAGCATTAGTAATGCATCCCTGATCTGGCAGCGTAATGTATCTGGCACGATTAAATGTGCACGAACACTGCGAGATTGTACGTGACTGTGGGTTGCAACGCATGGCAAGCCACCTCTCAGGGTGCTAAGGGCGCATGAACCGCTGCGGTATGCGATACCTAGAGGCTGAGAAGGGAGTTCAACTGCTGTTATGGAGATGCCAGTGTAGGAATTCGGTCCCGTCACAGCTTGCAATGATCACCGTATATGATCGAGGACCAGCGTTACACTTGGCATGCAACAGTGGCACGTGAGAGGAACAAACCTCAGGCGCACAGAAAGGAGGTGCTGCAGACGCTTTGCATATCGCTAAGGAGCGAAGATCCTTCAAAAATATCAGTACAAACAGTAAATTTTGTGAACTCCCCCAAAATGTTTTTTAAATCACCCCTTCCCTTGAAGAATGGATATTGAACAGGATCTGCCCTGTGGTGGGTAGGCTACTAACCGCTACCAGTATCGTTGAGTTAAAGCGCGCCAAACTTCTTCTTTTTATCCAAAGGTAAGTGTATGTGCAGCCAAACTACGAAGCGTGCACCTGCCACAGCCGATCACCCAAATATGGCGGCTGCCAGGCAACATTTGTCTCGCTATATGCTTATCTTCTTCTCCAGCAAGCGCCAGAAAATGTACACTAGCTACTAGCTTCTTCGGTATTAGAAGGGGAGGCACGACAATGGTGGCTATCTAAATAAGGGTAATAATTATCCAGAGCACATCGGGATTATGCAAGATTTTCGGAACGCACTGCGATACAGGCTTATTCCCAGGCCTGAAAGTGGCAGGATGCGGAAGAGTTGAAAAGTATTAAGCAAGGGAAGCTAGCAAAAGAAGGCTACAGTGTAATGAATCAGTAAGTAGTCAACCGATGCACAACGATTGGATCATAGGCTTTGAATCACAAGCTTTTAGAAGGGGTAGCCCATGGATGAAGGCGATTGGTAGCGCATATAAGGCTGAACCCCAAACGCCAAACCCTACATCCTAACACCCTAAACCCTAAAACCCAAAACCCCTAAACCGTAAGGCCCTAGGACCTAAAACCCTATAACCCTAAGCCCTAAACCCTAACCCCTAAACCCGAGCAGCGACAGCAACCGTTGCCTGTGAATACAAACTTGGGTAAGCACACAGTTAATTTAAAAGGAATCTGCGCGTGCAACTATCAACTCTTTTGGTCCCAGCACTGCGCCGGTTGTTTCGTGCGCGCCCCAGGATTTCCTTGTCCATTGCGTTAATTCGCCTGGTGGAGGCTCTGAAAGTCTTGTGTTTTTCCCCAAGTTGCAGTCTGTTTTCACTCGTTTGCAATGTAGAATTACGTCACGCTGGTTGTTGCGAAAGAAGCAGAGGCTGCTGCCGATACATTCTCGAGGACCAGTCCCACGTGTTGCTTTCCGATCCCGCTTTTCATACCTTTGTTGAGCTGTTGTAATCGACCGTCCAAATTTTACCAGGCTCAATATCTATATCATTTATAAACATGCCCTTTTCCTTTCCTGCCAATGTGGCAGAAGAAGCGTCTTTTCCCTGGTTTATGACTACGTATTCCATGTCCGCGAGGTCAACCCCTTCACCACTTAGTTCCATCTTCGCCGGATTGCTCCGGGTAAGCACCCCGCACTGAACTATTGATACAGAAGTTCGGAAGGCACTGTTGGAGGTCTGCCCCAATTGATACTCCATACAATGCTCTCTGAATATGGTGCTCTATGGGTAGCTTACCCTGCTTACTCTTCCCCACCCCTGCCATCACGTGTTTCCGTGCCGACATAGGAATTAACGCATTTTGCAGGTCGTGTAGAGGAGCTTTTGAAGTCTGGATGCTCTCCACAAAAGTAGCACCCATGCTAGGATATAGCTACAATTGTCGTGCCTTCCCGTCAAACAACGAGAATGCCATTTGCAATAATAGTTATAATGCTTTGAACATACGCCAATAAAGCTGTGCCTGCACCGCGCTGACCTCTATGTGGTGATGGCCGGCAAGGGAAAGTGCACTCGTCTTGGGAAATCTAGGGAGACCAAAAGTGGGCATGGGTTGGGAGGGTGGGCTTAGACTAGCTGCTGTACTAGTGTATCATTGGGGAAAGTCATGGACGTGACATGGGGCAAGCTGTCGAATGCTGCACGTGTATGTACCCCTTTCGCGCTAATGACAGGCCTTTTGAGTCATCTATTGCTGCTGCCTAGGTTCGTAGTGAGGTTGCACGTCTAGAGACCTGTCTGGTGTCGTGGTGTTTAGGGGTGTAAAGTGTGCTGTGTGGTGTCGCTAGCGTACGTGTCATGCTGTGTTTCTGTCACTGTAGTATAATTGTACGTTTTGCGGTATAGAATGCGGCTATTCAGCTCACAAAATGATGCTACTACTACTCAGGCATTCACTCGAAATTTGGGCCCGTGATTTTATCTCTACGATGGTGCGCACAGCTGTTGGCTGCCGATTGGCGCTTTGTAGAAAACTCTGCAGCCGCAGTATATGCAAAACATATGATTGATGAAAGCTTGAAGTGCAAATAGAACGCTGTGCTCCCTCAACTGATGCTTAGTAGCGTTGTTCTTATTTGGTAAGTGACGGTGGTGATGCAGGCGAAGCAGCTATGGATGCTTCTGTAGGCTGTACGTCGGGTCAAAAGGTATACTTGTGGCGTTCGGTCTTCGAATTTCTGGAGATTCAAGCAGACGTTGTATGGCATACTCGAATTCACCCAGTCGCCACCAATGCGATGGTTTGTATTTGTTTGACCCCTATTGGCGGCTTAATACGGGGTGATTTGGGGAATATGGGGAAGCCAAATATGGATACTATTGGCGAGGGTGACCGTCGACTAGCTGTTGACCGGTTTGTCTGTAGAGGTTGCTGTGCTGGGGCTCACGTTGATTTGGACGTATTGTGTGTGTTGGGAGGGAGCACGGGTGAAGCCAGTTGGTGTAGAGTAATCATCGAAGGCGAATGTGCAACGCGGAATAGCGGGGTTTTGTGCTGTGCCCGAACGCACCAGTATGTCATTGTGGATAGCCACTGGAACTGGCTGGAACTGTGGAACTGGCTTGGTGATGTTTTCGTCTGCTGCACATATGCGTACACGTATCGTGCTAATGACGGGCCTTTTTTGGGCCCTTTTTAGTTGGCCATTTTTTCTGCTTAGGTTCGTAGGGAGGCTCCACGGCTAGAGACGTTTCTGGTGTCATGTTGTTTAGGGGTGTAGAGTGGGTTGAGATGCGCAATTAGCGTAGTTGCCAGTGCTTTTACTGTACAGTGTTTCTGACACTGTAGGATAATAGTACCTTTTGCGTATAGAATGCAAGTATTCAGCTCTGAGTACACCAGAACCTGATTTGTTCATCTGGAATCGTAGCCACCCCACCACCTTTATCCACAGCTAACGCAACGTGACGCAATCACGTTGCACCCATTATAAAGAGATGTACACGTGCTTTGACAAAGCTAATCCAACTGATTAGAAGCAAGCATCAAACACTGAAGCATAACGGTCGATCCAGACCCCTGCGTGTTTGCTTGTGGCACACCAGGACGTTTCTACCTCGCGCGTTTGTTGGTGTTCATTAGCATCTTATCCGTATGAACAGCTTCGGCGCCTTGACCTATCTACCTGCAGCGAACGCGTTGCTTTGTTCGCAACCTAATTCGCAAGTGTGCCCCATGGGATTGTGCTTGCAGGCAGCCCCCTTGAGAGCGTTTTGACATGACAGTAGCATGAGTTGCGAAACGGCCTCTCGGAATGAATGCCAATACACTCCAGTCGTGGCGAGGTCTGAGGTGACTCCACTTATTTTACGGCCACTTTAGCTACTTGCTTGCGTCCGTTCAACTCTTAGCAGCATTAAGGCTGAGCACGCATTGCTCATGTGTCCTTGTGAACGAAGGAATTGAACGAATTCCTGATATTTGCACGAATATATATATATTTGTGCTGGGGGCAGGCTGGTGAGATTTCTCAGGTTAGGGATGGGTACACTTACTGCAAATAACTGCGTTCTTGGCTGTCTAGAAAGTATGTAGCGACCTCCGCTGTGCACTCCGCAGTAGCGGCTTCTGTGTGTTTGCGTAGATTCAGATCACGCCAATAGAGTGTTGTGGATCTTGGAAGCTAGCACCATTTGGAGACGTTGGCGGTTTTTGAAAAGACGCATTGTTGATCCCGGGCGTATAAACTGACTGTCTCAGCCGTTGCTGTTGGCCGGACGGTTGCGTTTCCATGCACTTCACAGGGATTGCATTGCCATAATATTGAAGTAACAGCAGTGGTCGCAAGCTGGATGTGATGTTTTTCCGGCCAGTGTGCAGGTGGCTAGTTGCTCAGCTGCATTAGCGTGTGGCGTAACTCGAGTTCGTAATTAGTGAGAGGCCTTCACGTGTGGCACTACACGCCGACGGGTCGTATTGTGAATGGCGAGGCCTGTTGAGGAATTGTACTTTGCCGTTTGAAAACGGGGTCAATTTGTGGAGGGATCGCAGGGTTGTGGTAGGCCGCTGTTGTCTAGTACTTGGTTTCTGCGGACGTAGAAAGTGTGTTTGGTTGGACGGAGACGTGCCGAAGTAGAGTGGCAATTAATGCAGTAGATAGGAGGAAAACGAACGGGTAACGCCAACAATGAGTAGGTGTGATGTTAGCAGATCAGTGCAATATGGGTTGGATATCGGAGTACTGTTCTCAAATCAAACAAACTTCATGGGATCATTCAGGCGCTTCCGGGAGCAGCAAGTGTGTTGGTGCATTTACACACACACGGGAAATGCTTGATAGTGCGGGTTGTGGGAGAGATGTGTAGGCGCGCAAAGCTAGCAGTTATTGTCTTACTAATGGTGTGAGCTGGATGCGGGGATGGACAGTCGGCGCGTCAACGTTTTGAGTTTTTCCAAACCGATGCTGGAAATGTGTTTTCCTTGGGCTGGTGCTATTCGAACTTTTGCTTGCATTCCTTCCTGTTTGCTCTACATTGTAGCGCAGGAGCATTCGCGCGTTGGTTGTTTGTTTATGAGGTAGTGTAGCGGCAACTCAAAGCTGCAGTCTCGTAGCTCAGCAAGCGCCTGACTCAGGAGGTGGGTGTTCCGTCTGCGTGTTGTGTATTACAGCAAGGCGAAATATCGTTTTGCTTTTGCTGGAAGTAGCAACCTTGTTCGCATAGCGCTTCACCGTTTTCCTCTTGTGGTGGCGAAGCCCGTTCATTCCAAAAGCACTGTAATGCTAGGGCGATATCGCATGGGAAAATTGGGGTTATCGCACATTGATAGTGGTTTGAGGTTCATGCGTCAGCTTTGTTGAAGCTGCTTCTCTTGGGAAAGATTGCAGCCTTTATGGTCCGCCATTTCGATCAGTGGCCTGTATGCAGGACATACGGCAGGATGTGCTACTCTGCAGCTCATCGCATTAGAAGACATCGAGATCACCCACTCCTTTGAAACTCTCCACAGACAAGCAGTTTACGGGCAGGAGTTTTGGGAGACGCAGAGTATGATGCTGATGCATAAAAGGGTTGTGCTACATGGGTTTTGGGTAAATTTTGCTGTGGTTTCTGGCTCCGGGAGCGAACTCATTTAGTGGCGTACCTGGGCCGACTTGTATATTCGTAACAGAGGGACGGCGTTCAGTTTGGGGCATTTCTTCGGTTTGCACGACGTGGGGTATCGTTTAAATGCCCCACGGGTTTGGTTGGTAGCCTGTTTCTTCGCTGAACGCTGAGACCACTTCGAGGGGCCTGGAAGTGTCTCTGCACAATTTGCCAACGGTCATAAAGGGATCATCTGTATGCGGTAGAAAGCAGCGGCACACGTTGCTAAGACTTGTGTTTCGACATGCGCTCTTTGAGCATGGAGAATCTTTGTCGAAGGGATATTTCGGGAGGCGTTTGAATAGGGATGCACTTGTAAGCGCTATGCCGCTGCCTTGGATTTGCTCAAGCCATGGGCTAGGCTGAGCGATTTCATGTCTAGTTAGCTGTTCTTGGATGTCCTCATAACGTTGGGATTCTTATAGGAGTGTTGATGAGGGGAAGACAATGATGATTCTGTGGATCGGTGCGGTGGCCCGGCTATGCTGCAGGTTTCCTTATGTGCAGCTGTGTGTCGCAGTATACAGGTTGTGTACCCCGCTGTATTCGCGTGAACGCTTTGCATACGCTGGAATGGCGGTTTGTATGCCTTCTGTAGACATTGATTGATTGAGCCGGCGGGGTCCCCACATGAAATTCGGAAAAATACACCAACCTGTGTGGCTGGAACCCTTACAGATTACCAGTATGGATATACGTTCTTGGGGGTACTGTTTGGACGCGTTTGTTTTTATCGGCTGACTGACGCGGCGGGCCAGTCTCCTCATTGTCAGGGACTGCAACGCATTCATGGTGATTGAGGGGTGTCTGCGGAGGCGGTCCTGTGACGTATGTGGTTTCTATGTGCGTTTTGGCCTGCGGTACGCTTGCGTGTGTTTAGTGGCATCGTCGCCCAACGGTAGAGTGCTCCGGTATATGCATTAATTAGAGCTTTAGCAAAAGCAACAGCAGTAACATACTCGATGCTGGCTCTGTCTTACTTGGCTGAAGATCTTGCCAGAGCCTTACGGTCCAGT